AACCAGCTTCCTTCCGATGGGGCTACCTTCCAGTGGGGTGGCCACCCGGTACACACATATAGATACTCTGTGTGCATCATAATAATTATACAGATTTATTCGAACGGGCCCAGATCGCAACGGGTTAACAACGTGTGCGCGCGCGCGCGCGCGCGAACTGGTTGAAAGTTCCGGGGAATCGTAACGTCGCGCATCGGGTATCTCACCAAGGGTCGAAGAGTCACACCTTTCATTTCCTCGGCTGTAACGTGTAATTTACCACTTTGAGCGGGAAAACAAGAATTGTACGAGAAACCGGCCGTAAACGGCTATAAGTATACACTCGGTCGAGATGTATCTATTTCCAAGGCGAGTCTTAAATTCTCCTCTGAACAGATTGTTCATAACTGCGGGCGTTCATCGATCGATCGTATTTACGAATGGGATTGGATCGACCGATTAAATTATATAAATTTCTCAGTCCCTTATGAAATGGTTAAAAGTTTTAGAAATATTCACACGTGAGAATTTAAATATTATTAAGATACTTCGTGTTAATTAGCAACTTCAGTAAAAATAATGGAATCTCTGCTGCTATTAACGTTAACCTGCTCCTTCGCCACACGTTGCTGTATTTGTATTTCTTCTCGCGAACAGGGCGGAAATGGTTCGCCATTGCGGCGCAACAACATAACCGACGAACGCGACTGGCGCGGTGCCAGTGGGACCTGCTTCCATCTACGCGCGCATAAAGAATCTTTTCGCAGCAACCTGCGCGAACGCGCGATTACCCGTGGTATCGGCGTGAAGGGCGCCGGGTTGTTCCCTCGTAGGGATTCACACGCACGGGACATACTACGGCGACAAACAAAAGCGGGGTAACTTAGCGCGCCCAGTATTCCGTATAATTTATCCGCCACGTAACGAAGGTAGGAAGAAAGAAGCGGAATTCTTTGCCGGAACCGCCGCCGGTAGCTACCGGAATAACCGGATAAAATGCAGGTTCTCTTGGTCCTTTCCTTTCGCCCGCTTTCCCTCCTTCTCGCTCCCGCTGATCTGGGACGATGAAAAAGGGTTCTCTGCAGAGACAGATAACCGCGTGGAAACGCGTCTTTATGCGCAGGTAGATGATTCGTCGACGACCGGTGCATGATTCATTCCTGGTATCTCCATCTTTTTTTCTCCGTCTTGAGTTTTCGATGCGTTGAAACGGTAGCGAAACGGGCGCAATGCGGAGGGTGCGCGTTTCCTCGTAAACCGCCGGGAGAGGAAAACGTCGATCGACCCCTTCACGCATATTTACGAAGACGAGAGAGAGGATTGTGGCTTTTAATTTAATGCATTCCATCGGAAACGGCAGGTAGGACATACAACGGTATGACGGCTACAAATAGAGAGAATTAAACGCACCCGTCCTCGAAATTAGATCATGAAATGCTGAGAAATATGTCTTTGGAAATATGAGTCGGTGCGTATAGGAAGATTAAAGATTTGTGGACTAATTGTTAGATTATAAAATAAGTGATCGCTTCATTGCTTAAAATTTATAAGTGCAATTTGTCGCGGCGCGTCTAAACTAATGGGAGTCTCGAGATTGAATGTCCACCTTCCTCTCTCAAAATCGGTTGCCCGGATAACATTTCTATTAGTGTCAAAATATTTTTTACAATGTTATTATTCTAGATCGTTACAATTTGAACGTTTCAGATTATTGATTATAATTGTTAGCGAAATTGCGAATTATTATTTGCTTTTCCGATTGCCGATTGGTATCAATTAAACTTGTCTATTCTGCATACCGAGAAATTTGGCAGGATGCACACAGATCCTCAATCTCTCAGCGCGAAACTATTAAGCGAAATCTCTATTAAGAAACAGTTGTTATATTTGTCTGCTGATTCCGCGTAAATATCTAACGGCTCTCAGTTATGTATGCGTGAATCCGTGTGCCTGTCTAATGACACCGCATGTTCGGCTTTAAGATCCGTGGCGATATATTCGCCACACGCCTTTAGTGGTGTATAATTTAATTCAATTATTATTAGATTTGTTAATAATAAGTTGCACATTGGACACAAAAGATATACTTGTATAAAAGTTAATATCTATAAATTCTATAAATTCTAAACTACTAAATGTTTCGAAGTAAACAATTGCTTATCCAACGCGAGACTACAATTACAGAACCGTTTTGTTATCTCTTTTTCACATGACGAAAGGTGTTGAATGACATGGATATGGTCTTCAAATTAATCAGAATCACGATTTGCCTGAGGTTGAAGTCAGTGCACCGAGCGTGCGCATTTATTGCATTCCCTTTGATCGGCGGTCGTGTCGAGCGGTAGTGCATCGGCACGCATTCGATATATATGCGACGTGGGTGTCGATGAGATAAGCGGGACAGGTATGGGGACAACAACGGGTGATTCGTGCCGCCGTTCCGTTACCAGCGGATAGTTCCTTCAGGATCGTGGCTTATCGACGAGCGAATCGAACTCTCTGTCGTGGCTAACGATCGTATAAATTTACAGTGCGTACAACAGCCGGCTAGATCATTTCAGTCACTAGTCGGGCACGCGTGTCGACAATAACTCAACTTATCGGAGTAATGAGTAGTAAATTAATAAATTGTCATGCAATTAATGGAAGAAAAATGAATGTTGAAAATTTGAAGTTCATTTATAGTTTTCAGGAAACGATTTTTATCGCGATAGATATTTTCATCGCTGAGACTGCTAACATTTTCCAAAATGCATTTCAGAAATGTTTCTGCATTTTTGTTAAAATTGTCGTATGGAAAAATTACCTTGATCGATAGAATAATATTTTCTGAATTTCGAATGATAATCTTCGAATGATAATTTCGAATGAGTATTTTCCATCGCTAATCATAATACGTATTACTGAGATTGCAAATATCTTCTACATTTCCGAACTTGCTAAAGTTACATGAGAAAATTATTTGATTTATATAATAGAATAATATTTTCTGAATTTCAAACCGTGATTATATTTTTGCGGTAATCGCCGTTGATGTTATCAATGCTACGGCAGAACAAAATCGGATGCAGAATCATTTCAAGTTCAACGTACCGTGCGCGTGCCGCATTTGGAATGCGCCGTTAAGCGAAGTGAAATGCGTCATGCGCGGAGGTTGCATGTGCAATATTGATATTGTAATGCAAACGAGGCGAATGTAAATATACATCGACGGTAGCGAGGACGTTTCTCTGTCGAGACAAACGGTTAATAATACGCGCGCCCGTGGCGTATCGGTTTACCGGAGATTTTATCATTGGAAATTCTGCCAGTGTGCACACGCATGACGCTGTCTCCGCCTTTTCTTCTCGCATTTTGCTCTTTGGCGTCTGTGTTTCTCCTTCATTACGAAATAATACGGTAAAATGATTGATTGTGCCGCCCAGTGAGCTAGCGAAAGAATAAAGCTTTATGGGAATGAGCTGTTTATGACGACAAGTCACGAGGGTCCTATGTCAAAAATCGCTTCTCTTTCGTTCCCCGATGCATGGCCATACCGGTCTCCTATCTCGATTATCGTCTCGCGATCGGTCAATTTAAACGATCCTATTTCATCGGTGATAATTTTGTCCAATGCGTGTACATTAATTATGATATGATATGAAATGTTTCACCATTTCATTCTGCTTTAAAATCCACATAAAGTTCATTGAACTTTCATTGAACTTTCATTATGTACTAATGAAGTTGAAAAATTTCACATTCTTGGCAATATTTTAATTTATATTATACTTTATTGTTCTTAATAAAGAATAAAATATCTTGCTAAATTTTTTAAACAATACATAAAAATATTGTTATGGCGCTAACTACGAAAAACTTGAATGTATCTCGATTTTAAAAGAAAGCATATGACGCTAATCTTATTTTTACCTAAGTCTCGTAAAGAGAAAAAAAAGAAACCGCATGTAAGTGGATCGACAAAAATGGAAAAAAAAATTTTTCTCGAAATTGAAAAGAAGTGACAGATGAGGTGTACTCGGTTTTTTATGGCCATGGTATGTTGGCTACGTAGCGGAATCCCGAACGAAACGCCGTTTCTTCTTTTGCGCAAAAATGATAGGCGATCTAACGTGAATCTGTCGTTGTGTAAGGGGGGATGGAGTGCTCGCGCGAGTACGCGTGCCCCAATGCACATTCGTACGTGCTCACGAATGCACGCGCGTGTGTAGGTTTCCAGCGCGCGTGGGCGATGCTGTGGCACGCGACACGACCGTTACACGTTCCGAACTGGCAACGTGGGTTGACGCGAAAGAGGGGGTGAAATTCAGAAGGGGAACAAGAGGTGGATTGCAGCGCACATATACACACATGCACGCGCGCGTGTACGGGCAGACGCAATACCAGGGGCGCATATCAGGGGCACAAAACAGCCGACGCGACAACTACGCTCGTACAAAGAGCGAGAGAAAGAACGGCGCGGAGTTCAGGTAGGCTGAACGGAAATTCGAATAAAAACGCGAGTCGCCAAGCTCTCGCGCGGAGGGGGTCTAATGTACCCACACGCGCGCGCGAACGCGAATCCCCGATGCATGTGTGTGCATGTGGAGTAAGTTCCCTAAGAGGGGTTACAGCATCTGCTCCCACAGAATAACATACACATATACACATTTCTCTCCTTCTCTCTTTCGGAGAGCGAGTAAGAGTGAGGGGGAATAAGAGAGAAAGAAACGGTGGAAGGGATGAAAAAGGAAGGACATGAAGCGTAGCGGACTATCGTGTTGCACTCACGAGCATCCTGCACCTCCCGTCATTGTCCACTAACGGTGGGGGGACAGTTGGTGGAACATATCCTTGGTCGATTGGCTGGTGGCCCGCGACCGTCCGTCCCCCATTGGCAAGTAACGAGGGGCCCGCGGGCCCGTATTGGCTCGGCAGCACGTGCGGGCCACCTGCGATCGGTTGGTGGGGCGATCTGTTATAAGAGGCCCTGACACAACCCCCCTGCCAGTCAGAAACCGGCTTGCAGCCGAAATGTTCTGAGTTAGTTGCTACGGCAGGTTCCTTATATTTCCCTTTCGTGTTTCACGCAAGTCGCCCGGTCAGTTGAATTCGGACGAGCGTGTAGTGAAGATCGATTTTATCACTCTTTGGAAGAAAGATCGAAGTGCCGTTTTCTTTTTGAAAAAAGGAGGCTTTTAACTTACGTGTGAATTAATAGTGCAGTGACGTTGCCGCGCATTGTCAATTTGCAAGACTTCGACGAGAGTGATTATTGGATTAACGTCATAAATGACGGATGTTCGAGAAGAGAAAGAAAGGAGGATGCTTTAAGCGCAGTGTTATCGCATCAATAAATTAAAAGAACGCTTTAAGTGCTTTCACGTAACATTAAAACAGTGTCAAAATGCTTGTCGAAGAGGTGTCACACAGCTTCATGAAGAAGAACAATTACAATTATAGTCACTGCCCTTTAAAGAAGCGACCGTTTTACTATCCATCCGAGGATGAAGAAGAAGTTCCTGAAGCTATTAAAGGTTTTAAAATTATTTTTTTTCTATCATTTATGTTAGATTTTTTTTGTATATAAAATATATTTATTTATTCTTTTCGTTATTTTTGATATACTTATTTTACTTATTTTAAGCATTAACAATAACTAATAAAAATAATCTATTATATTTTATATAATACAATTATATTTTATATAATAACGCGGAAGATAAGCAAGTAACGTTTATATGAATTTTAGTATTTTATTATTAATAATTCTTTAACTCAATTAATGAAATTAAAAGTATGGCTCATGATGAGTTCCTTATTTTAAATTGTGAATAAAAAATCAAATAACTAAATATTATTATTTCAAAATTATTTTTTAAATGTTTTGTTTTCTTTTATTTTTTGCTCTTTTATTTGGTATCGCTTAGCATGTATGTAAATATGTATTTTTCGTTTGTACAGAAGAGATAATTGACGTAGGAGTAGATGATATTCCCGAACCCGAAAATCTCAGCACAAAGCCCGAGGATCTCAGTAGAACTGCGGATCGCCATCCTCACCAACAGCAACAACAACAACAACAACAACAACAGCAACAGGAGCAATCACAACAAGAACAAGAACAACAAGAACGTTCGGCGGCGTCCAGTAGGATGCCGCCGCCGATTTTCAAGGCATCTCCTCCGCATTTAATGACAGAGCCAGCCTTACCGACGACTCATCATGGGATGCACTATGTTCACCAGCTACATCACTATCATCCTCATTATCCGACCAAGACTATTACGCCGCCGGCGGGAATTGCGCCGACGCATCATCCGATCGCGAAGAAGGCGCGAGTCGAAGTGATCCAACATAACGACAATTCCTCGACGACTCTGGCGGTCGGTGTGGCGGCGACGTCGACGCCACTGCATTTTATGACGAACAAGACACCCTTGGAGCCGTTGAATCTGAACACTCCGGTGGAGCCGTTGGCTCATTACGGCACGCCACCCTGGGCCCGGACGGGCTCACTGTATCCATCGCATTATCTGCCGTACGCCCCGCCTGCCTATCCTCGCTATCCTGGAACGGACTTGTATTCGTCGTATCCGGTACCGGCGTATCCGCACGCGTCTCCCGAGCATCACCCGTCGGTTTCGCCACCACCTCACGGCGCGCTGACCTGCTCGACGATCCAACGGCCCATCGTCAGGAGTTATCCTCACTGGCCGAGTCCGGATCACTGCGGTTTATCACCAACGAGTTCCGTTGGTTCCGGTTCCCTGCGATCTCCACCTCCCGTGACACCGGAAGACCTCTCCTCGCCCAGTAGCGAGAGCGGCAGGTCGTCCGCGGGTAGCACTTCCACCGGAATCACCATCGTGAACACGAAGATGGAGAAGAGCGGTTCGAGCACCGTTACGAACGCCCCCTCGAACACCACATCGTCCAGGCATTCGTGCCAGAATTGCAACAAGTCGTACTCGACGTATTCCGGATTGTCGAAGCACCAACAATTCCATTGCGCCGCCGCCCAAGGCCAGGCAAAGAAGTCCTTCTCGTGCAAATATTGCCAGAAGATATACGTCAGTTTGGGCGCACTGAAGATGCACATCCGAACGCACACGCTGCCCTGTAAATGCCACACGTGCGGTAAGGCGTTCTCCCGGCCGTGGTTGCTTCAGGGTCACATTCGGACGCACACCGGCGAGAAACCGTTCCGATGTCAACACTGCAACCGCGCGTTCGCCGACAGAAGCAACCTCAGAGCTCATCTGCAGACCCACAGCGACGTCAAGAAGTATTCCTGCGACGACTGTAATAAAACATTCAGCAGGATGTCGTTGCTTACGAAGCATAGGGACACTGGCTGTCCCGGCGTGCCGATATCAGTCGGCTATACTGCCTAAAGTTTGATATTTCTGTGACCCTTGACAAACGTACGTCCCCTCGTCTTTATCTCGTGGTCTCAAAGTGCCTTAGAATGCAGTACAAACGTCGAGTTAGTGAAGTCCGGTATATTGGTGAATCGCGAACGATTGCCTTCAATTAACTCTTTCGCCATCTATATGTTTTATTTTATTTTTTATTTATTTATTTATTTTTTTTGTTTTTTTGGAAAAGTGAGCTTCAGAAAGAAGCTGAAGCTTCTATTTATAAAAATATATATTTCGAACAATTGCATTTTTTTATAAAGAAATTTTTTTTTTAAGTTAAGTCTGAAAATGAGAAATTATTTTACTATTTTAATCAATTCAACATCGATACAACAGTGGCGAAAGAATTTACAATTACATTTATTTTCAAATATACCACTCGATCATGTCATTAAAACAGAGTTTTGAGTCGTTACATAGATATCTCGAAAAATTTCGTGAGAGTTGATTTCATTTGTTCATTATACTTTGCTGTAAATATCGGTGTAAAAGTGCACGACATACAACGATTCACAAAAAAATATTCTCTTTCAATTGCCGACTTCAATTTTTATTCGTAGAAGAAAGTACATATTTTTAACAACAGAGAATATATACAAATATATAATTATAATTTCATAAAGTATATATAAAAATGAATTATAATTAATTATTATTTTTACTATTCAAAAATATTAATTGTTTAATGTCTGTAATTAAGAAATGGTTTTGTGATTTATTGTATGAGCGCGTGCTGACAATATAATAGTACTTAGAGATTATTTTGTTCTTCCGAGAGATCGGTCACGTCGCTCCGAGCACGTGAGGAATATTGAATATTAAAGTGCCGCTCGATTACTGCGTGATACGGTCCCGTGAAACTGCTGTGCCATTTTTTTTTTTTCATCTTTCATGCCATTTCTTTTTATTGCCATTTGTCTCCTAATACACTTCAAGCACATAAAACGCGATCACAAAATGAAGAGATCGGGAAATAGGACGATTTGCACAATTGATTTCTTTTTTCTTTTTCTTTGTTTTTCTTTATTTTTGAGTTATATTTCATTTTTTTGTCAACGTTTTGTTGACAAAAAAATTGTTGATCTGAACATTATTTATCACCGTGATTAGATTGATTTTTGATGTGTTTTAATTATAATTAACGACACATGTTTTTTATGATTAATAATGATTCTTGACAATTTTAGTGGAAGAGAGCGTCTAAAATAAAACGCAGAACTTTACGAAAATATTGTATTTAATATAATATTGGGTTATATAATATTTCCACAAGGTGCATTTTAAGTATGGTAGTTAACCATATGTA